TATTATTTTTAGTTAGTTGGATTGTCTTTTCTTAGTTTTCTTAAAATATTCCTTATTTTAATTAAAAAGTATAAATGCTATCTTAAGATCTGGAACTGGTTGCCCAAATAAATTCATCATCTGTTATAAACATAATTTTATTCCCTGTTTCTTATATTGATTACGTAACAATGTATTTAAATTCAAATATATTATTTATATTTCTTTCCCAAATAATAATTGAATTATTATCTTTTGCACATGATACTAATACATTTTCTGATGGGTTTAAACTTAATCCATTCACAAAATGAGTATGTTTATCCAATGAATATTAATAAGTCAAAAAATTCTAATTAAAATCAACTTTCCAAACTTTAATTGACTTATCAAAACTACCAGAAAATAGTAAATCTTCATTCTTATTGATTATCAAGCACTAAATATAATCAGTATGTTAATAATATGGTTATGAACTCACCCAATTTCTGATATTCATTTATTTCCAACATCTGATTGTTTTATCATCAGAAGATGAAAGAAAAGAATTCTATTTCTTACTGTATATCAAACAATTAACAAAATTAGTATGCCCCTGTAAAGAATTTACTAATTGAATTTTACCATTTTAAAAATTCCATACTTTGATTTCTCTTGATTCTGTAGTTACCATAATGGATCCAGAAGAATCAAAAGCTATTGCTTAGCAAGCTTTTTCTTACTAAATAGATTAATCTATTAAAGTCAGTTGCACTTCCCCAACCTATTTTGGTTATTGTGCTATATTTATTTCTTATTATTAGTATTACTAAGATTATTATTATTAGAGTTATTATTATTACTAAGGTTATTATTATTATTATTATTAAGATTATTCCTATTATAGTTATTATTGTTACTCAGCTTATTATATTTAAGATTACTCATTTATTACAATTATATTACTATATAATTAATCTTTAACTAAATTAGAAAGTATATTTTAACATTTATCAAATTCTCCAAAGCTTTTAAATCTTTCGATTATTGGATAAACTTTTTAATACCAATTATAATTAATTTTATCAAACTAAGAATTATATTTAATATATTTGAGATCTACTTCATTTTAATTTTGTATGAAAGAATCCAATTCCTCATAAAAACTATAAGTAATTAATTACTATTCCTCCTATCTTAAATCCATCATCCATTTATTCAGAGTACCTTCAAGTTGATTTAATAATTGAATCAAGCTTGATTTTAAACTTGAAATAGTATCAATTAACTATTCAAT